GGCACAGTTATGAGCGTGACATGAATCAGCCCATTTACAATTCTACTGTGCTTGAACGAGAAATGTCCCCCTTTTGGGAATGCCCTAAAGACAACAGTCAGTGGCGATTTTTTTTTTGGTGAGCATTGACTCTATTTAACAGAGAAAAACAACCACGAAACAAGTCAATCCCTAAACTGAAATCAGTTGAACAGGAGATCCTTGAAAAGCAAACAACAAGACTAATAAAAATGACACGGGACAGGCAGAAACAAAGCTCACCTGTACAGAATCCCATCCACCTTCTCGGTCTAAGATGTGACCCAGCTGGACCTGACAATAGAAAAAAAAAAGTCATTTTGAGTGTGTGTGTGTGTGTGTGAGTGTTTTACATCGCTCCCAACTGCAAAAGGTCATATGAGCGTGCGGGACACACAAAACTTTTTCAGTTCGTTGGAAACTTTGAATTTTGCCCGAGTGGCGGCCGATGTCTACTCTTATCGATTTTAGACCACCAAGGGATCTTTCAGCCGTGCAGTCTCGGCATTGAGAAGAATAGGACTGACGTGGTGCTAGCCCGTCGTACGAGGCGACTAAATGGCGAACCAAGTAGTGACTCCTGAAACAGAGTCATCCTGCCTCCAGGTCAGGGGTTGAGTCACGAGGCTAACAACCTCTCTCGTAAAAAGAACCTGTTACAGAAACACATACAAGCAAAAACCATTATCTCTGCTTGGCTGATCGTGGATCTTCTCCAAATGGAGAGTTTATGATGGAAGGCGGTGAAAGCCGAAAGGACATGAGAGAAATGAAGCTCACTTGGAACGAGCTTGGAAGGATGGCTCAGGACAGAGATAAATGGAAGGAGTTTGTATGTGGCCTATACCCTGCCAGGGGTGAAAGGCATTGATGATGATGAAGGGATCTTTAACATGCGCAACTTGCAAACGGGCCCTCCGAGATTTTTCGCCCTTGTCCAAGAAGGCTAGGTGTAGATCTTTCCCACCATAAGATAAGGGGTGTGGCTGAAAGACAGCAGTAAGAAGGAGCCAAGGAGTAGCAGTAGAAAGGCTGCAGAAAGAGTCAGGAGCCTAGAGGAGGGGGCAAAGGAGGTGAGGGGGTGGGAGCAGAAAGAGGAGACGAAAGCAGACGACAGAACATTGCAAGAGAGCAGGAAAGGAGGTGAAAGGAGACCAAAAAAAAAGTCATCAGAAACGTTACGAAAAAGAATATTTGGATACTTTAAACAACTAGCACGCTCAACTGAAAATACAGTATAACATGGACAGCTCAAATTCGTTCGGACCGGCTTCCGTAGTTCGAGGGAACTGTAGTTCGAGAGAGTATCTTACGTAAAGAAAGAAAAAAAATAATAAAATGGGACTGCAGGAACAGTTTGACGGATGCCTGGTTTCGAGTCTTCGGTGTTCGACCTATCCCTGTAATACTGTAAAAATCAATCGATTTTGGTATGAAAGAAGAGATAAACCAAAGCCTATTCTGAAAAAAAAAAAAAAGAGAAAAATGTTACTACCATGCTTGATTCACACTAATTTTTAAAATTAAAATAACTTCATCAGATTCCCATCTGTTTCCAAGGAATGATCAGGTAGCCCCCCCCTCAAATATATAGTTTGGCATTAAATTAAATCAGGATGAGCCATAGAAAAAAAAATTCCAGAGTTTTTCAGCCGCTAGGTGTAGGAATGCAATGAAGCTCTTGATAAAGCAAATTCAGCCAAACAAATGATGAATATATGTAGGGTACTGGTATTTTTAAAATCGAGTTTAACTTTCCCTTGTGACATTTGAACAGGAAACTGTATTTTTCATTCATATGTTCACTTTTT